TGGCTGGAGTGTTGTGGGGATCGAACTACAGCAAACTGAGGCTGCCAGCATTGTGGAAGCAGCCACTTAAAGAACTGAGCTAGGGCTGGGCCCCCTTCTCATATATTTTTAAAATCATGTATGTGTCATAAGTGGTAAAACTGGCACATACTGGAGATAAAATTATCTGTGAGATAGGTTCAGACAGGTGAAGAATAAGCTTCAGATGTTAGAGACCTCTAGTTCAGTTGTTCAGTGATAGTTGTGGAGTCTCACTGGCCCCCTTTAGCCCAAGTACTGGCTGAATGACCTGGAGCAAGTTGCGTAATTCCCGATAACCAGGATTCTCAATTGGTTGTTGTCCCCTCTGGGGGCTGAGGATTGAAGCTAGGCCTTCTCACTGAGCTATGTTGCCGGCCACGTTTTAATTTGTAATTATGAGACAGCATCTCACTCATTTGCTCAGGCTGGGCTGGAATTTGTGATCCTCCTGCTTCGGCCTCCTGTAATGCGGAGATTATAAGTATGTACCACCACGTCCAGCTCCCAGATTCCCAAGTTCCAAAACAAAAGTACCTACCTCAAATGGAGGATTAAATGAGATAACATATGTGATATCTAGCGCATAATAAGTAGCTACTGGGTTTTTATTAATTTATTGGATACAGGGTCTCAATATGCAGCTCAGACTCAATGATCCTCCTGTCTCAGCCTTCTCAGCACTGGGATTACAGGTGTGCGCCACCACACCAGATTAAAGTGGCGAGCTCTGAGTGGGTGCAGGGGAATGGTATGGCGTACAGTACTGGGGATGGCACCCAGGACCTTGTGCTTTCCAGGCAGCCGCTTAGACTGCTAAGCTATCTGGCCCAGTTTCTTTCATCTAATTGCTCTGGCTAACTCTTCACTACTATATTGAATAAGAGTGGAAATGATGGGCATCCTTGTCTTGTTTCTGATTTTAGAGTGAAAGCTTTCAGTTTTGTCCATTTAGTATGATGTTGGCTGTTGGTTTGTCAGATGGCTTTTATCAAATTGAGATAAAGAATTTCTATTCTGATTTTCTGTAGGGTTTTTTTTTTAATGTATTTGGTACAGGGTCTCACTATGCAGCTCAGGCTCGTAGTGATCCTCCTGTTTTCAGCCTCCCCAGCACAGTGATTACAGGCATGTGCCACCACGCCTGGACTCAGTCCAGCTCAGCGCACCCAAGGGCAGGGCCAGTGCCGCAGGCTGTACTGGGGATCGAACTCCAGTCCCTGCACTTACCTAAGCAGGTGCTTAGTCCTTGCTGAGCTATCTCCCTGGCCCTTGTAGGTTTTTTTGTTTAAATCATAGTGGGCCAGGGAGATAGCTCAGTAGACTAAGCACCTGCTTGACAAGCTCAGGGTCCTGAGTTCAATTCCCAGTACTGCAAAATAAATAAATAATATCATGAATACTTTTTTTTTTTTTTTTTTTTTGTATCTTAGGGAAGGGTCTACAGGGTATTCAGGGTCTCACTACTAGATTGAACTCATAATGACCCGCCTGTTTACAGCCTCCCAAGAACTGGGATTACAGGTGTGCACCACGCCCAGTCTCAATTGCCGGCTCAGCGCGCCCCAGGGGTGGGGCCGGCTCTGCAGGCCTGGGGATTGAACCCCCAGCCTGCTCTGTTTATATGGCATGTTATTGGTTTATATATGTTGAACCATCCATGCATGCCTGGAATGAATCCCATTTGGTCATGGTATATAATCTTCTTGATGGTTTGCTGCATTCTGTTTGCCAGTGTCTTACAGGAGGACTTTTGCTTCTATGTTCATTAAGAATATTGGCCAGTAGTTCTCATTTTTGGTTGGATCCTTCTCTGGTGTTGGTGTTGGCCTAATGTTTGCATCGAAGAACTATTTGGACGTTCTTTTCAGTTTCATTGAGGAGTTTAAAGACCAGTGGCTTTAGGTCTTCTCTGAAATTCTTGTAGAATGCAGAAGTGAACCTGTAAGAACCTGGGCTCTTCTTTGTTGATAGTTTATTTTTAATACTTCTTCAAATTCATTGAATGATATTGGATTATTTAGAATTTTTTTATCTTCTTGATTCAGCTTTGGTACTTCATTCGTATCTGTCCATTTCTTCTGAATTTTTCATTCAGATTCTCAAAGTAGACCCAGGAGTGGTGGCACGTACCTGTACTCCTAGCACTTGGCCGCTTGAGATAGTATTACTGTGAGTTTGAGGCCAGCCTACGCTACCTAGTGAAACCCTGTCTCAAAAAACAAACACTTCGGGGCTGGTGAGATGGCTCAGTAGTCTAAAGCACCTACTTAGAACAAGCTAAGCTAAGCAAAGCACAGGGACCGTGGTTCAATCCCCCAGCACCACATGCCAGCCAGCACCAGCCCTGCCCCCTGGTGGGCTGAGCTGGCCACACACACACACACACACACACACACAAAATAACACTTCAAAATAGGTACTGAGGGCTAGGTAGATAGCTCGGCAACCTAAGCACCTCCTTGGCAGGTGCAAGGACCCAGGTTCCATCCCCAGTAACTCATACCTTGCTAGCCCTGGAACCCCCGGTGTCCCATGCAGGCCACTGAAACTAGGCATGATGGCATACACTTTTAATCCCAGCGCTGGGGAGGCTGAGACAGGAAGATCACTACAAGTCCAAGCTGCGTAGAGACCCTGTACTAAATAAATGAATAAAAGAGTTTTAAAATTAAAAAAAAAAAATAGGTACTGATGCTCTTCTAGACTTCTGCATGATTTTTTAAAATATATAATCCTGTGTGTTACTAATTGCATGAATCTGGGTATTTTCTTTCCTTATTTTGATAGGTTGACTAGGGCATTGTTTATTTTATTTAATTTTTTTCCCCTTTTCTTTTTGACAGGGTCCATTGTACAATTCAGGCTGACCTTGAGGTCGTGAGCTCACGAGCTCACGTATCCAAGGCTGGTCTCAAACTCGCAACAATCCTCCTGCCTCAGCCCCTCAAGTGCTGGGATTACAGACATGTGCCACTACACTGGTTTTAATTTCTTTTTTAAGTTTTTTGGGACAGAGTCTCACTATATAGCCCAGGCTGGTCTTGAATTCATGGCAGTCCTCCTGTCTCAGGCTTCCAAGTACTTGGATTACAGGTGTGCCTTACTTTATTTCATTTAATAAAGAACCAACTCTTTGTTTCGTTGATTCTTTATATTTTCTTCTTTTTTTTTTTTTTCTTTCCATATTTAGAACAGGGTCTTCAGAGTCTCACTATGTAAATCAGACTCATAGTGAGTCTCTTGTTTTCAGCCTCCCAAATGCTGGGATTACAAGTACACATCACCACCCCGTCTCAGTCACTGTCTCAGTGCGCCCCCAGGGTGGGGCCAGCACAGCACACGGAGGATCGAACCCCGGCCGCTGTGCTCTGCCTAAGCAGGCGCTTTAGTCCACTGAGCTATCAGCCTCGCCCTATATTGTTTTCATAGTCTCCATTGTATTAATTTCTGCTCTGATCTTGATAATTTCCCTCCTTGTACAAGTTTTGGGTTTAACTTGCTGTTCTTTTTCTAGGAGCTTGAGATTCAACATTAGGTTGTTTGAGCTTTCTGTTTTTCTGATGTGAGGATTCACTAGTATAAATTTCCCTTTAGGACTGCTTTCGTTGCATCTCGTGTTCTGTTATGTTGTTTATACTATCATTTAATTGTAGAAACTGTCTAATTTCTTCTTTAATTTCATCTGTGACCCATTGGTTGTTCAGAAGGGTGTTATTTAATTTGTGTATATGTAATCTTTGTGGTTTCTTTTGACATTTGTTTACAAAACCATTAATTATGATCGGATAATATGCACAGAGAATTTCTATTCCTTTGCATTTACTTAAGCATGTTCTGTTAGTTATTATATGCTCTACTTGGAGAAAGACTCCTGTGCTTCTGATAAGAATGTGTGTTCTGTTTTTGGGCTTAAATGCTTTGTATATATCTACTAAGTCCATTTGTTCAAATGTTTGGTTCAGCTCTGATATTGCTTTAATTTCTTTGTCTAATTGATCTATTTGTTTCATTATTGTTGTTGTTGTTGTTACATATTTAGGACAGGGTCTACAGGGTCTCACTACATAGATCGGACTCTTCGTGAGTCTGCTGTTTTCAGCCTCCCAAGCACTGGGATTACGGATGCATGCTACCACACCCAGTCTTAATTGCCATCTCAGCGCACCCCAGGGTGCGGTCAGCACAGCACGCTGAGGATCGAACCCCGGCCGCGGCGCTCTGCCTAAGCAGGTGCGTTAGTCTGTTGAGCTATCTTGCCAGCTCTGATCTATTTGTTTCAGTGCAGTATTGGGTCCTTCATTACATTGCGTTAGCGCTTATCTGATTTTTAAAATTAGTGTTTGTTTTGTATAGTTGTGTGCACTGATATTCGGCAGATCTGTTTATGATTGTTATCTCTTCCTCCCGGATTGTTCCCTTAATAAGTACGTAGAGACGTCCTTTGTCTCTTCTGATCAGTGTCGGCTTCCTGTTTTTCATTGTTCGGAGTATTATTTTCCATCTTTTGACTTGCAGTCAGTGAGTTTCTTTTAGAGGTAGGTGTGTTTCTTCTGTGAAGTATATGGTTGGATCTTGCTTCTTGACCCATTCTACCAGTCTGTTCCCTTTGGTTGAGGAATTGAGGCCATTCATTTTGATAGTGGCGATCTTCCTTCTACAGCCACCCAGCTACGGGGACTGCAGGTGTGCACCACCATGCCTGGTCTCTGTGAATTTTATTTTATTTTATTTTTTTATTTTTTTAATTTTTATTTATTTGTGTGTGTGTGTGTGGCCAGCTCAACCCACTTGGGGGCGGGGCTGGCTGGCATGTGGTGCTGGGGATTGAACCATGGTCCCTGTGCTTTGCTAAGCTTGTTCTAAGT